ATGAGTTCTAAAATTGAGGGCATATAGTGCCTGTTTCTCAGATATAAAGTACCTGGTTTAGTGTATCCAAAATTGATGTATAAATAACAGTATATCCAGCCCCTATAATATGTTTGGATGTGAAAAATTTAATGTGGATAGGAATGAGGGCCAAGAAAAGGTGTTGTGTGTTTTTAAAATTTTAGTACAAGAACTGGCGTAAAATTGAGCGAATGATGTCGAACACATAAGAGAAGTTATCTCAAGAATAAATACACCATAACTTAAAAATTACAGAAGAGCATACATTTCAAGCACAGGGAAACTTTCTACGGCCTCCACACAGCACGAGAGACAAACTTTAGTTAATATAATAGAAAAACAAAGGATAAGGAGTATCCATCTATGACACAAAATCAGTACATGTACAGCAAAAAAACACACAAAAAGCAAAGGAACAGCGCTTTTATTTTTGTTCTTCATCTCAAAGTCACAGTGAAGCCTTCAACACGGAGCAAAAAACTCTAACCTCACTGCATTACATGCAAATATATATATATATTTATCTAGCTGTTCTCCTTCAGGTATTTTGTAGTAGAATTTACCAACTTCAAGCAAGTAATTCTTGACAGTGGATCTTGAGAGAGCTAATATGAATTCTTTAATTGTAATTCATGGAACATAATTACATTTGGATATATTGATAAGAAGATGTGATATGATTGCCAATGAGACAACTATCCACCAGATACCAAATGAAGTGGAAGTTGTCAACTATACATGGAGGTCAACGTACGGCCCCTCAATAATGAGCAACCTTTTATTGTAATGCATATGTGTAAAGCCTAAAAACATATGGTCCTTTCCTGAAAAAATTGTAATTGTCAGAGAGGGGAGGGGACAGGGTCAGCTGTGTTTCAAATAACATTATTCTTTTAATTGTGGTTTTCAATGACAATTTGAGCAATCCGTATTTCTCATAATAAATCTGAACAGTACAGGTATAAAAAAAAATCCTGGAAATATATATAAGAGAAATCATAAACCTTTTACAATTAATAGAATAATGAATAATACACACATATATGTATATCACATTTTCATGGTCTAATTCGGGTGTCAGGAAATCTTCAATGATATGTATCAACTCATTCTTTTCATTAATAAACAAGGTTTTGTGTTTCATATTTTTTTGTGATAGTAGTTCTTTTGTCTTTTATAAGACTAAAATTTTTTTTTACCACAATTGATTCATCAGTCCATTATATTTTCCTGGTGTCAGTGAGAAATCTTCCTGATTTTTTTTAAAATATAATGACATACAATTGCTTTTAAAATTGATGGTCCTAATACATTTGTTGCACATCTTCCTGCAAGACTGGGGTCCATGGATATTGGATCTGAACCCTCTTAGGGACGCCCTGATTGTGCTGAAATTAGGTACATTTCAAATGAAAAAAGATTTGTTTGTCCTCAAAATTGGCCTAAAAATTCCCATTGACATCAAGTTTACGAACAATGCTACAGATCTTTAAATTCTGTATTCATTCCTCAACTATTCTGATCCAGAACATATTTTTCCGTTTGTGCGGTCTCCAATGAATTAACACTAAGGGACGACATCAAAAGATCAATGTAGGATAAAAAACTTAAATCAAATAGTTTGGGGGTGGGGGGGTTAAAATTGCTGCAAGTTTTGTTTATCCAAAATCAATTTTACATATATCCATATTGGTCAATCAATTTTTCCCAAATTAAGTTAAGAGGGGGGTGGGGGGTCAGTGAAAAAACTAGGTGAATTAAGTTTTTTATCCTACATGATTGAACTTTTGATGTCGTCCCTAAATAAAATAGGATTTGACAATGTCAATATTGTCTACAAGTAGTGTTCATTTTTTTTTAATTAAAAATAAACGGAGAATGTGTCCATGGGACACAGATGATGCCCCCGCTTGCATATAATGTTATAAAGGGACATAACTCAAGAATGGTAAAAGTGACACAACCCAAATTCGAAAGTGATCTGTATTTTGTGGTAATAAGCATTGTGTATAAGTTTCATAACATTTGGATGAGGCAAACTAAAGATAAAGAATGGAAACTAATTTTGGGACATACGAACAAGGGTAACACTAAATGCCCCCTCCACCATGGCGGGGCATAAAAAACAAGTAGTGTTCTCCCCAGAGCTTTTTAACCGGACGGTAATGTGATGCTGTATTGCTTAATGTGATGCTATCTGATTTTCTTAATGATTGTGTTATGAATATGATGCTTTAATTTTTAGGAAAAAAATGGTATTTCAAAATTCCCAGTTTACAAGGATGTTTAATAAAATTTGTTGGGGGTAACAATGATACAAGTGGTGATCAACAGCTTTATAAATTGTGAAAACCAACATGTACATGTATGTACATGTACATAACAACAAACGAAAAACAAATAAGATATACAGCAACAACAGCCACTGAATGTCATGCTCTTGACTTTAATAGGACAGGCACACACCTGTAATGTTACACAGTTTAAATGAATAAACTAATTTATATTGCAATATCTTATATGCATCTTTGAAACAAAACAATTATATTATCCCAATCTACTTCAAATGTTAATTCCAAAATGGGCCAAGTGAAGCCTTGATTATTTGTATCATTCATTTTTCACAAATTTGCCCGCATCAAACCTATTTCTTGTGGTACATAAAAAAATCTTATGACCTGATCTCTTGAACATGGTGCTTACATTATGTCATTTGGTCTTTGTTGGATAGTTTTTTCGTTGATAATCATACCACAGTGACTTTATATTATATCAAAATATAATTATGATCCATGGATTACAATAAAAGAATTCATATTGAACTACTGTCAAGAAGTACTTACTTGAAGTTGGTAAATTATATCACATCTTTTTATCTTTAATTTTTATTGATTCTTTTGGTAAATTAATTTTTTGAACATTTTTAACAGGTTAGACATGGAAATCCCCAATCTCAGACACTCATAGAATGGATCTGGCAAGCTGTGCTTACTCATCAGAACTAAACAAGAAATGATGGTCATTCAAAAATATGGGTACCTTCTGAAAAAGTGAGCAACCAGTGCTGGATTCTAGATTTTATGAGGACAATATGATGTGTATGATATGGCCATCATAAAATTACTGTTAAAATGACAGCAAAACAATTTTACTTCAATTTACTGTTGAAACAATCAAGGGTCATGACTCCTGATCAGCATACATGTAAATGGAAAACTCTTAAGGCAATTTCGACCAAAAATCAGGACTTTTCCAATTTTTTGCTTCATTAGGAGTGCAAGTGAAGTAGTTGTTCCTGAAGTGTATTTAAATTAAAATTTATTCCCGCAACTTTACACTGTTTTTTAAAGTTCCAGACATCTGTACAGCTTGGGCACAGAAGGGAATCCCATACATCCAGGACTGCCATTTTCCTCCAATTTCAATTTTCAAAGTTGAATTTTGGGTCAAACTGCTCCTTAAACCTAGTGAACATACATAATAATGTAACAAGCCTTAATTTGAGTGGACATGCATGAATTTCAAAATCAATTTCAAACAGCCAACATCTAAAATTATCAAGAGCCATTATAGCCAAAAAACAAAATTTGGGGTAGAGGCCCGCTGGTGTATTATGACCCCCATGGTAAGGATGGAGTATTACAGCACCCCCCTCCCCCGTCCCCATGGTAAGTGTTAAAAAAAGTGTATCCAACTTGACCTCCAAATAAGTAATCAGATTTCACTATAAGAAAAGAAAGCAAAAGACATCTGAAGGTCAACAATGTCACCTTCAGCAAAAGACAGGACTTATGTCTGCACAATACATGTACATGTATGTCAAAAAGGCCCCACATCTTCACAAGTCTTGACAGCAACATGAAGCTACATGTAAATGACTGAGAAGCTACGTCAAAATGTATAGTTCAAACTTTTTTTAAGTCAAGGAAATGACTATGTCGTCTTCAATGTATTTAGAAAATAACAAGAGTAAGCTCTCAAACTGGAGATCTACATCAGTATGCACAACCTAGTTAAGATTCATTATTATTAATTTTATATATAAACATGATAAAAAAAAATAAGCTAACTGATGAAAATACTAATAGACAGATGTGTGCATAAAGAAAAGGTAAAAAAATACTGTTAACAAATCTCTCCTATCTATTACATATATACGTCATGTATGTATGTATGTTGTCTTTATATAGAATAATTAGCAATAGCAAATACAAATGTATCCTCTTAGCTGATGACCATATTTGGAAATTTGCAAATTACTAATATCAGATACATGCTTGTAAGTCCACTTTTGTTGAAAATACTATGGATGGATGCAAATGTATACCCCAAAATGTCATATTTTGTCGATTTAAGCTCCTTTAAAGAATATCAATAAAAGGAAATATGGAGTCATTATGAGACAATGACCAAATGACACTTTAATATTGAACTACCATAAGACAACTGAGGGCATGGAAAGGGGGGGGTGTAAAGATCTTACAAAAGATGATAACTAAGCTTTTAATTCATGCATGTTAAAGTACTAACTGAATGTTTCCAATACAAACAATGTTCACCCTTTAACTCTATACAATGTATTGATATATGCACGAAAATACTGAAAACTACATCAAATAGACACAGTTTTAAAGTTTCAATTAACCTTTTAATCTGTAATCATTATTTCTGATGACAAACATTTGATGTCAATGTCAGTGTATGTAATTAGTAAATCCTCAGGGCAAACAAATCACTGAACTGGTAGTACCAGTTGGTAGTCAGACAGACCCTATGATAATTTTACTTTGATGACCCTTAAATCTTATTCCTATTTTTTTTATGTCATTTCACTTCTTTAAATAATATATATGTTATATTTTCAAAGATGTAACAAACAGTGGCAATCCCCACCTAAACATTCCCAGTCGGAGGCGTGGATACCGAGCACTTAGCATCTTCATCACTGATAACAGGCACTTGTTGGATAACAGACTTACCTCCTCCCATTTTATAAATTTGTTGCCCTTAATCAAACATTCTGGGACGATAATTGGTCTCAGCTGAACTACATGGACACCTGGTTTGGCTCCCGCCATCTCTCGTGTTTACAAAATCCTTCTGTCCATTTATTTCCTACACATGACACGCTTATTTTCTCGGTCAGGGTAAAATAGGTAGTTCCTGTTTACGTTCAATAATAATTAGCTTCCAATGGATTTGGAATTAACGACAAATAAGATAGTCCAATATTTATTCTCCAAAACCTGACATTACATGGAATTGTTTAGTCTAACGATCTAATTAATATCATTCAACAAATGGTTCATTCCATTTTCCGATTTAGATGTCACATGACATGTGTTTATTAACAAGTAGCAGGTGCGCGAAAATTAAACGGACTCGAATACAAGATTGTGCTCGCTCAGCAGTAGACAACTTATTAGCAAGCGGCTAAATAATTAAAGGTTTTTTAGTTCAACATATTTTATTTGCCAAAAAAAAACTCACAAAAAGGATTAGACACAAGTAAGTCCAACTTTACAGATCGTCTTCTCCAAAGTAATTAAAGGTGACATTTGAACCCAGCGATCACAATCATGCGGGGATGCATGGAAGTTATGTCGGCAAAACTACTCCAGTATATATTTTCATTATTTTTGTTAATCAATCAACAAAAATCACTGAAAAATGATAATTTTTTTTGCCGAATTTTCAGGAAAACGCTTTGCTCAAGCTCAATGAATTTTTTATGTCATTGACGTATACCCACATATCTTTAGTTAGTGTATAGAGTATCCCGTGGAATAATCTATCAAAGGTTTTTTATAAACATTCACGTAATTGTACTGTTTTATCATACTGATAAATTGGTTTAAACTGAAATTAAGAACAAACAGATATAACGACTTTGATGTCGTAGAACCCGGTTTTATTCATAAAATGTTCTTTGTCATTTGAGAAAGGACTTTCGTTTTTAATTTTCCTCGGAGTTCGGTATTTTTGTTATTTTACTTTTTACACCATCGCTTGCTGGTCACGGCTTCTAGTATATACAGATGTGTTATGATTACAAGTGAGACAACTATCCACCAGGGACCAAAAAAACTTAGGACCAAGATTGATCGTAAGCTTTTAAGTATACTGAATTGTTCATGACTTACGATCAATCTTAGTCGTAAGTTTTTTTTTGTGAAACCGAGTTATGAGGAGGAGAGGTTTTTTTGTGAAACCGACTCCTGTTCCCTGGTGGATAGTTGTTTCACAAAGCTGTCTGAGGACTAAGACATGTCTTAGTGTGGTCTTACTACATATCTTAGACCTAAGTGGGTTTCACAAAGTGATCCTAACTTAGGACATCTCTTAAAGTTGGTCATAAAGTTGAGACTACACGAGAGGGGTCTTATGATGGTCTTAGGATAGTCATAAGTTTATTCATATAAATTACACTTATTTTTTACATTAATTTTGCAAATTATCTAATTATTCTGTAATTATCTAATCTCTTTCTCCTCCTCATAACTAAATCTTTATAGGTTGACAGATTATCAAAATGATTTATCAACAATGAATATTCGATGTATTTATATAGCAAGAATGCACGATTTTATCCTTTAACCTTATTATAACCGATACATTGACAAACTGAATTCAACTCACTTGTACACAAAAATTGTCATCATTTGTATTCTTTTTTTTTTCTCAATCTTGCATTTGAGTTTTCAAATGTATATTGGTGTATTATCAATAGATTATTTATATAAATTACACTTATTTTTGCAAATTATCTAATTTATGGGAAACATATACTACATTTCCATGAATTTTTCCATAATGTCCATGTTAATATTTAAAAATTTAAAGAACTTGCGACAGGTTTGGGATATCTTTGCCTAAGATCATCCTAAGACAGCTTCGAGACGAGGTCTTCAAGTAGATATGTCCTAAGATAGTCATAAGAGGATCAAAAGACATGTCCTAAGATATATCTTATGACAGGTCTTAGGATAGCTTCGTGAAACCGGTCCCAGAGAACAAAGAATATGGCTGTAAACAACTCTGTTTATTAAGAATGCGAAATTGGTAAAAAAAAAAAAAGCAAGCAACAATATAGATTAAACGAAATATTTTTCCTGTATGCTTTTGAACAAAAAGCAATGTTTTTTATTAGGGTCTTTAAAAAATCCCAAGAAAATAAAAACATGCTACCATCCCAACAACAGACGAGTGGTTAGTGCATTGACGTGATTTATAAATATGAGTTAATGTACATACATGTATATATATCTCCGATATATTCTACGTCTTAACGTTTAAGATTGCTGTTCTTCGTCTGAAGGTGACAGAAAAGCTTTCAAATTAGAACAAAACTCTTCTCGCTGAAAGTTCAGCACCGGTTTGAACGGAATTATTTGCTAGATGTCAATCACGTTCCATCTGTGCTTTGAAAAAAGAACACAGCTGCAGTGTAATATCAATTTTGAATTATATCTGGAAAAGAATCTAGCAAAAACTGTCATCAATTGCCCGACAGTCTCACTCTAAAATACTGAATCAGTAAAAAATATGTAAACAACTAAAGAAATCAACAAGATATATGTCATATTACTTGACAGGAAATAACTTATGAATAAGGCAAATGATTTGGGTTGACTGCTATAATTACGCCATTACTGTACACATATAAGAGCATATATATCAGGCACGTGTGGACTTTTAACGGACCCAACAAAGCACGTGAGACGAACGATGTTAATATGACAGAAAATAAATAATCATTTATGAATATAGCATGGTGCTACGACATCGTTCGAACCTCATACCTTATATTTCTTAGTTTCTGTTATACTATAATACAATAGAATAAGGTAAACGACAAACGATGGTGTTTATATTAGATCTTTGATACATGCATTAAGCTATGAGGTTTACGTCGATAAGTCAGCAAATTAACCATAAAAGAAGCTTTTACGTATAAGCTCTTTTATTATCATACTGCATGCAGTTTGTTTGTATGTTGTATGTGCATTTCGTCTCCTGAAACTGGTAAAACCTATACTGCATGTTGTTTGTCATTTGGTCGTTTTAAGTTTTTTGCCATGGCATTGACAGTTTATTTTCGACATTCAGATCATCGTACTACTGAAAATAGTAATACCAGAGACATATATACACATATATATGTGTATATATGTCTCTGGTAATACTAGCACTCTTCGCACCCGACCACGTTCAATTCTATACCACAAGACATTATAAACTTTGATAACTCTGAACAACACTGTCTCATTTCTAAATGAAAAACCAAAAACTGCAAAACCAGTTAAATCTTAATAACAGATGTTCGATGTACTGGCAATTTAACTAAACATTCTGACTATATATATACCAGAAGCGACTACGAACTGAATTGTAAATCAACAATTTATATAGATTGTAACCTTTGCGGATTGGTATATGTCGGTGAAACGAAAGGAAGACTAGATAAACACATGCGAATGACATTGTTTACCAACATTTTAGTCAGTCTGATGTCACTAGTAATGACCTTCTGTTATTTTTACATAAGCTGTTAGGTATTTATCACAATTGCACGAATCTTTATTCATCTCAAGGGGCGACGTGAATCAGCTGTGGATATTGAAAAAATCAAAAAATCTGTTAGAGTACATACAATCTAAATATCTTTCCTCTTGCAATTAAGACATTTGACTTTTCTACCCTTTCTACACAAGTATTCCCAAACTAAAAGACATATTGAAAGAAGGCACTGGCTGTGATTACCCGCAATAAGTAACAATGAGAAATAATTATTGTTACTTCCGAGACTAATTGCCGAAAAGTATTTCCGGACAGAACCCGATTTCATACGGAAATCCTTCTCTTCTTGCCAACTTGTTCTTTTATTCATACGAGACAGACATCATATAGAGGATTCTTCAGAAGAATGAAAAAAATCTAGCATTATCCCTTAACTTCATGTTCCGCTATATAGATGATGTCCTCTCACTAAATTCAAAGTTTTGTGTCTATGTTGAACGTGCATCTATCCCATCGAACTTGAAATAAAGGATATAACAGAGAGAGTTCAGTCTACCTCATATTTTGACTTACATCTTGAAATTAACAATGAGGGTCGGTAGTGAACAAAACTTAACATAAAAAGGGATGACTTCAGCTTCCCAATTATGGACGTTTCATTTCTACGTAGCAACATTCCAGCAGCGCCTGCATATGGAGTATGTATCTCCCATTTGGTACGATATGTCCGAGCTTTCGTTTCCTATTATCAGCGTATATATTTGTTCCGCCTAACAGAAGTTCCCATGGAAACTTTGTTATAAACTATGCCATAATATCTGTCCTGTTGGAACAAATATCCTATAAATAAAGGCAACAGTAGTATACCGCATTTCAAAAGTCATAAATCGATTAAGAGAAAACAAATCCGGGTTACAAACTAAAACCGAGGGAAACACATCAAATATAAGAGGGAAACAACGGAACAACAGAAATGCTGAACTGCAACAAAAACAAACGTCAACATACATAGAAACGGACTATTTGATATCAACTGCCATATTCCTGACTTGGTACAGGACATTTTAAGAAAAAATGGTGGGTTGAGCCTGGTTTTATGGCTAGCCAAACCTCCCTCTTATATGGCAATGTTAAAAAATATATCGCTAAAATGACAACACTACGTGAAAGGAATACAATACAAACAAACGCGAGAACACTCAGCACAGAAAAATGCATAAATAAATGATATAATAGTAAATTACAACATGTAAACCGCGCAGAATAACAACGGACATCTCCTATAACCTTTATTACGTAAGGAACAAATACTGTGATATTTGTTCCAATGGAAATGATATTTCAGAATATTTCTTCCACTTGGAACTTCTATTTCGTGACACTATCATGATTTCCTTGATATATGATTGCTGTTTACAAGGAAGCTTTTAAACCAAGAGTTCCAATTGGTGAAGTTGAAGTCATCCCTTCGAAAATTTTACGGACGCCATCACGAGTTGGTTGACGATTGTGGAATATCTGTTTCGCAGACGACGATATGTTCCGATTGTCGTAACCACAATCCCGTTTTTTTTTTCTCGAATGTGACCTACCGATTCAGACTTATCACCGGGTGTGTACTTACATGAGCAACACGAATGGTGCCACACTGTGCGGAGCAGGATCTGCCTATATCGTTTAGGAACACCCGAGATCATCCCCGGTTTTTGGTGGGGTTCGTGTTGCTCAGTCTTTGGTATTCTATGTTGTATTCTGTATACTATTGATTGTCTTTTGGTCGTTATTCGTTTTTTGCCATGGC